TGGGTGGACTATTGCCGTTCTTCATTGCATGGACTCTGGGATCTTCCCCCTATAGTGACTAATTCCAGTAAAACCCAGTGCAGATCTTTCATGCCCATTACTCTCAGGATGCAGATTCCTTAAACCCAAAGCCATTCCAGAGATAATCCGTGCCTCCAAGTGCATTTCTTAACACGTCCCTCACAGGAGGAACCCCCCAGTTTAGGCAAATCGAACCAGCAGCAAATCCCTGGACGTGACATCCTGTCTTGCCTTTAATCAAGCCTCTTCTTCTGCCCAGCATGTCATTATTCTGCACCTCCTTACCTTCATGGAGAACTTCAGTGCATCCTTTAAGACCTCACCCAACGTTCTCTACAACTATGATTCTGTCAGGACCATATGTTGATATGTGGTCAGTTGCTTGAGTATAATGACTATTGTTTATAACAATGGCTTGTGTTCCCCCTTCAGATTTCATCTCCTCCTATTCTGCTTGGCCTTTCTATTCTTTGGCCATGCCAGGTCTCAGAGTTTTTCCTCTGGCTCTTCCCTTTGCTGAGATCCTTTCCCTGTCCCCCTACCTGCTCTTCACAGGACTGGTTAATTCACCATTCAAGTATCAGCCGAAATGTTACCTCTGTAGAGAGGCAGTTCCTACTGTCCCAGATCCATAGTCCCCCCTCCCCACATGCTCCCAATCACTCTGTTAATCATCCTGTTTTATTTCTACTGGAGCATTCATCACCATCAGAAATGGTCTTGTTTATCTCCATGTTTGTTTGTTCCTTTCCTCAGTTCTTCCACCCCTTACTAGAACACATTCCTTTGCCTGAGATGCACCAACCTTGTCTGTTCATTCACTCATGTAACCCTAGGGCCTACAATAGTGCTTGATACAGAGTAGGTATCAGGAAATATCTTTGTAATTATTCTAATATATGTAGGGTTTGCAACTGTAGGAATGGGGCTAAATAGGGTTATCTTATGAGTATAGGTTTCCTGGTGAGTGGAAGTAAAAAGGTAGGATCCTAATCAACCTCCCCACATTGCCACCTCTTTAGCAGCTCTGTCCTGAATCATCATTTGACTGTGTTTACCTTTTGTCTTTCACAGCTGTCTTCGCTTGGCAAGAATGTGTTAAAGGTCTAACCTTTTCTTTTCTTTTTTTTTTTTTAATTTTTTTTTCAATGTTTATTTATTTTTGGGACAGAGAGAGACAGAGCATGAAGTGGGGAGGGGCAGAGAGAGAGGGAGACACAGAATCGGAAACAGGCTCCAGGCTCTGAGCCATCCGCCCAGAGCCCGACGCGGGGCTCGAACTCCCGGACCGCGAGATCGTGACCTGGCTGAAGTCGGACGCTTAACCGACTGTGCCACCCAGGCGCCCCAAGGTCTAACCTTTTCAAGGCCTTTTAGAGCATATTCACTGGAGCCAAACCATTTAGATTCAAGTCTATATATGGCTCTAGGCAAGTAATTTAAGCTCTCTGTGTCTTAGTTTCCACAGCCGTAAAATGATGCCTGCTTTATGGGATTGTTGGGATGATTACAATAACATATGCAAAAAAATAAGTGGCCATAATAAGTACAATATTCATGTTAGTCATTAACATTAGTTGTTTTCTATCATGTAGAGACAGGACAATCGACAAATCCAAATAAAAGAAGTATTGGTGGGAGAGAAATGTGATAGGGAACATGTGTGACAGAGAAATGAGAGCAGCAGGACATTTGCTTCCAGAAATTCAAAACAACATAATTTATTAATTATACATTTAGATATTTGTAATACACACATATATAGGAAATAAGTTATTTAGAGTACCTCCATAATTTTGTGTTGAATGTTATAAATTTTATTTTAAAATCATTTAACAAAACCCATTTTGCATTTTAATATTTTAAAATAAAATCCATTATATCAAAATCTCAAGCATCTAAAAATTGTAAAAACCATGGTTCAAGTCAACAATGATGTGTTTTGAGATTCGGTGGGTAAACATAATTTCATTTGTCTATGAAGAATTTACTCTGTTCCCTTCTGGCTTTTTCAAGGCTTTCGAAAGTGATCATTCCTTTTGGCAGCTGCAACTTACTCTTTTCTGTTTCCAGTATGTTCTCAGCTTCACCTTAAATAAAGTACAGAAATATGCAAGGTGACAAAATGGCCATTAGTGTTTTGTGAGAAGGTCAAATTGCTATATTGCAATGACAAGCTGTAACAGTATTGGAGGCATGCCCCTAAATCTCACATTCACATGTTTCACCCATTGTCCTTAGGGGAAGGAAACTCCCAAAGGAAGGCCATTCTTTCCTTTGGGAGGAAAGGAATTCTGAAGACTCAGAGATAAATGATATGCCATAGATTTTATTTGATAGAAGACAGCATTTTAAAATGTAAAAGAAAAAGAATACCACGTGTAATACTTAGTCCCTTGAAGGAAAGTCAGGATGGTAAGCCTTAGTTGTGTTTGGAGGGGTTTGGGATGGAGAAGCCAAAAAGTCTTTGCTATATTGCCCTTAATATATAAGCGACACACATAAGAGAAAATAAAGCTTATTAAAATTCTACCTTTTCAGAAAAGCTAATCTTTTACCTGAAACCACTTATACCCAAAATAATATTAAATGTTCTTTAGTCTGTATACATACATACACACAAGAATATACATTAAAAATTTTTTTTAGTGTTTTATTTTTTATATTTGAGAGAGAGAGGGAGAGAAAGCGAGACAGAGCGTGAGCAGGGGAGGGGCAGAGAGAGAGGGAGACACAGAATCTGAAGAAGGCTCCAGGCTCTGAGCTGTCAGCACAGAGCCCTAGGTGGGGCTCAAACTCACAAGCAGTGAGATCAGGACCTGAGCCGAAGTTGGACGCCTAACCAACTGAGCCACCCAGGCTTCCCAAGAATATACATTTTTATAAACAATTCCTCTTTCAAATAACAGCTAGTACTGTCTTGGGCCCAGTTGAAGACTAATTAGCAAGATTAAAAAAATTATAATCTACATTGTTGACATTCTATAAACTTTCCTTGGGAATGAAGGCAAATGTTTCCTTTAAGTACCTCTATTTTAGCACACAGTTAATTTGTACCCCAGGCCCAAGAGGGTGGGCTTACAATTTTCAAATTATAATGTTTCAACCATCTGCAAACATCTGTTTTTTTTGCCTCTGTCTTAAGTAGTAAGTAAAAATCATTATAAATTATATGTAATTAGATAAGCCTTTGATGACATACTAGATGTTTCCATGTGATAGGGCCTCACATAGTGCAAATTCTCACCATGTGTTTGCAGAAAGGCTGATGATAAATTCAGTCAAACAAGGGTTGTATATATTGGGTCATCGCTAGTTAACAGGGCTAAATGTTATAACCTAAACTTTCGAAGATGGCACATTTCCTGGTAGATTAGAGGAGCCCAACATGGGGCTCTAACTCACAACCGTAAGATCAAGACCTGAGCTGAGAAGAGCTGACCGAGCTGCCCATGTGCCCCTATATATTTTTTTTTAAACAGGAAATTCCCACAGTGTGTCTTGAAATTTTAAAATTATATGTTCTGTGGATTCTGATGGACCTGTAATAAAATTACTTCCCAAACATACAATCACAATGTTCTTAGAAAATAAACTTGTTCTCTATTAGTAATATGTTCAAGTGAATACTGTGTAACAGGCTTGACATTTAATAGTACATATTAATTTTTATGAGGCGCTGAGAATTCTAATGTCCATATAAACAATGAAACAATTGAACTCAAGACTAGTGAGTTTTTTCCCCCCATTTTTTTTATGGTGGTAAAATACATATAATATTTACTGTCTTAACCATGTTGAGTCATACAGTTCAGTGGTATTAAAAACATTCATAATGCTGCGCAGGCATCCCTACCATCTATCTCAGAGCTCCTCATCTTGCAAAATCAGACTAATGAATTCTTAAGCAGATAAGTAGCATGAAACTGAGTAGGTTATTGAAATGAGCTTTAACATTGGTAAATCAGTTGTGTAGTTAGTCTCCTGCATAAAATGAGATTGCACTCCAGAATTTAATTTGTAGGTCAGTGTTTAATTCATTTTCCCATAGTAATAATGCAATCAAGAAATTTCTAGGCCATCAACAAAAAACTATTTAGCCCACAATATAGCTGAACTATGATATGATACCAATAATGCTTGACCCCAAGGAACATTTTTGCAGAGTTTTTGTGTGGAAAATGTATTTCCATCTTCAAATGGGAATTTTTAAGAACATGTAACCCTTGTATCTCTCTAGGCTTGGGAAAGAGAAGTTCTACTCCCTGATTCCAATACCTTCCTACACTTCTTCCCTTCCTGTACCAAATCAGTCCCCACAGAGCTTGAGAGACAGTGATGTGCCCACAGAGCCCATGAGAGGAATATGCTCTGGGTCAAAGGCTCAAGAAGAAGGGACAGTGGCAGTGCTATTTTCTAGGGCAATAAAATCCAGAGTTCTGTGAGAACAGCATGGTGCTGGTGATTATTTAACAACCAGCTCTCCCGGAAAAAAAAAAGCATATAAGTTTATTATGAACATAAGTTTATTATAAATTTTACTTATATAAAATAAATGTAGCACACAATTTATAAAAAAAATAAAATGTTCTGTATACTTTATCATAAATTTCCCATAGCAAATTGATTCTCAGAATGTTTTTATCATTTTTTTCCTGAAATATTATATTCATAGCTAATCTATAGTTGTAATTGATGAGAGAGTATAATTCCAACATGAATGTTTGTTGGTATTTTCATTTATACTAATGAGTAGGACAAAAGTGGAAACAGTAACATATGTTGGAATGTTATTTGTTTGAGAATGATATAGACAACTTAGCTGAATCGGATAACAGTTTTTATTTTATTTTACTTTATTTATTTTTCAGATAACAGTTTTTAAATGTTGGGAGAATATTTCCTCAACTGTTTGTGCTAGTCACAATGTAATAGCCATTGACACAACAAACATTTAAGCACAATCTACAGTATTAACATTTTCTTCTTCACTTCCTTCAGTCTAGACCATGTTGGCAAGCTTTCTTAAAAGGGCCAGACAGTAAATATTTTAGGCTTGTGGGACCTTATGTCTCTATTGCAGCCACTCAGCTCTGTTGTGGTAATGGGAATATATCCACAGACAATTCAGAAATCAATGGGCATGTCTGTGTTTTAATAAAACTTTATTTTCAAACACATGTGGCCAGCCTGCAGGCCATAGTTTGCCAACCCCTGGCTTAGACAATCAACAAAATAGTAAGTCAAGCCTTGATTTGGTGTTTTCAGATTTCCATGTGTAAATATTCCCACCATGACCAACTTCAGGCTACCAATGGGATGCCACTGAAGTCAGGGTTGTATCTGTATCTTATTGTGTCTGTATATTGTATCTGCATTTCTGCCATGCAGATACAGTAGATACACATAAAATAGACACACATAACTTAGGAGTACTGATAATAGTAAAATAATGAAAAACTGATAAGTTGAGTATATATTACCATTGTTTTTAATAGAATTTAATATTATTTTTATAATTTATTTAATTATAAATTTATATAATTAAATTTTTAATAATGACTGTATTTAACAACCAGCTTACAAATTCCTGAAAATTTGATAGTTCACGTGAGCTGGTATGAGTTGACTCTAGCACACTGCTGTGAGAGGGAGCAGATATGTTGGTCACTGGAAGCTCAGAGAGAGGGGTCTTGTCAAAATGCCCATAAATGAAGGGACCATAAGGAGAGGATCCTTGAACCAGAAGATGAATCAGAAATAGACTCTGCTTTATCAAAAACTGACCTTTCGGGGCGCCTGGGTGGCGCAGTCGGTTAAGCGTCCGACTTCAGCCAGGTCACGATCTCGCGGTCCGTGAGTTCGAGCCCCGCGTCAGGCTCTGGGCTGATGGCTCGGAGCCTGGAGCCTGTTTCCGATTCTGTGTCTCCCTCTCTCTCTGCCCCTCCCCCGTTCATGCTCTGTCTCTCTCTGTCCCAAAAATAAATAAACGTTGAAAAAAAAAAAAACAGAAACACACATAAAAACTGACCTTTCATTCTTTGGAGAAGGGTTCCATATCCTAAGTCATACTGGTAGGTGAGGACAAAGCCTAATGGAATGATAGGGAAGAGGAAGGCTGGCTTCTTCCTTCTTATTGCTCTGGTTCAAGAACAAAAAAGAATAAATATCAAGAATGGCCTGTAAATACTTATCTCCATACTCAATGAAAAAAAATTACCTGCTTTTGGACGAATGTCTTCCATTTTAGAAGGTACTTAGTTCATTTGAGTATTTTACAGAAATAGAATTTTCTTACCCACAATCTCTCCCCAGAGTCTGCAATTCTCAAGAGCAGAGTCTATGACTTGCTCGTCTTTATTTGACGTTGAGGCTCAGATTAATCATTTAAAAAATGGTTAAGTATTGCTATATCCCCCTTATGGATTGTGGAGATAAATTAGCAGAGGACTTCTTCTATCTTGGTATCAAGTCAGTCCTGTAACTTATAAAATGGAGAAAAGGATAGAAGAAATCTGAGACACTAGAGGTAGAATTAACTATTTCTACCCTGGTTCTACAGTTATCTCCAAGGACTAAGCTATAAGGGATTACTGTTTTTACATATACATTATATGCAACAAAGTCCTATCTTGGTCAACTTTATGATAATATGTAATGTCAAAAGAAAAAATAAGTAAATTACTTACGACAAGTTTAAAGTAAATAGCAAACATACCCAGCTGTTAAAGAGATGGCTGCAATGCCAAAAAAAGTTCCAAAATATTTGAGGAATTCTCGAGACCAAGCAATCTGCAAAGCCATCTGCCTTTCTCTCATTTCATTCTGCATCATTAGCTGTCTTTCCAGCTGAGGAAGAAACAAATAGCAAAGTCTGGTTACTCATCTTTTGATTTGGAGCACAGAGTTAATAATCTGCTCTTCCAAGGGATTTTCATTCTTCATTTGTTTTTATTCGTCTTTTTTTTTTTTTAAATCTCAATAGACTTTGACTAAAGTTCCTCTGGACAGCTATCCACAGCTGTCACCTTGGCAGTGAAATCTTCCTGGAATATATATACAGACTGGATATGATATTCTTCTTCTGTGTCCTCAGGTCTTGAATGCATGTGATGTGGAACTTTTATTCAACCCTAAAATAGATGTTCAGCCTATTCTGTCACTTGTGAGGAAAGATCTATGTGCTTTTAAATGCAAGTACATTTTATTGGCCATTATTAGAAATTGCATTGAAGTCATTTTGCTTTCCAAATTTATCTGGCTGCAAATTGACATTCACTTGATGTAGCAGGTCCATATCATTTTATGATATGATTGTAGAGGGGTATTACTCTGAGACATCAATAGAGATTTTTCTTTGCCATAATCTTCTTTTTGCCTCAAGTGCTTTGTCACTTTAGTCAGTGTCTTTCGCTTCATTGGAGCAGAAAGCAGATACAGCCCAGAGCACAGAAGGAGACTGGATTTCTGAAGGGATATTTAGAAAACAAGAGAAGCAACTGTCTGACAGCCCATTATTTTGAGAAATTCAGATTCTTTTTTTTTTTAATGTTTTTATTATTGATTTTTGAGAGCAAGAGACAGAGTGGGAGTGGGAGAGGGGCAGAGAGAGAGGGAGACCCAGGATCCAAAGCAGCTCCTGAGCTGTCAGCACAGAGCTGGACATGGGGCTCAAGCCCACGAACCATGAGATCATGACCTGAGCTGAAGTCGGATGCTTAACCGACTGAGCCATCCAGGCACCCCAAGAAAGTCAGATTCTTGAGAGAGAAAAGTTGTTTTTTAAATTCTAAAATCTTGGCACTGTGTATCATTAGCAGAACATAGAGGACAGCAAGCATAGAATTCATGATGTAAACCATAGGGTGGGAAGGAATGAGAACGTGACTCAGTTTTCCCTTCTTGCTGCCTTTCTACTGTAAGAAGGAACTAGAAGAAGAAAGGGAGATTTTAGATTTAAAGACGGGGCTTGGCTCCTTGGCACCTCTTAGGGGTTGAAACTCTGGGGGCGCCTGGGTGGCGCAGTCGGTTGAGCGTCCGACTTCAGCCAGGTCACGATCTCGCGGTCCGGGAGTTCGAGCCCCGCGTCGGGCTCTGGGCTGATGGCTCAGAGCCTGGAGCCTGTTTCCGATTCTGTGTCTCCCTCTCTCTCTGCCCCTCCCCCGTTCATGCTCTGTCTCTCTCTGTCCCAAAAATAAATAAATGTTGAAAAAAAATTAAAAAAAAAAAAAAGAAACTCTGGAGGGCTGTGATGGATTTAGGGTTTGGGGATCCCCAGAGTGCAGCTGTGGGCCTGTCTTCTGTTGGGAATTCTAGCAAGGGGCAACTGAAGTGGAGCAGAAATGGTTGCTAGGCAGATCTAGGCTTAGAGCAGACCTGAGAGAGGCCACTCAGTCTTCCTCAGCCACCAGGGGGTATGGAGAATATTTGCAGGGTTCCTGTGTCAACCTGAAGAGGGTCGTAGAAGGTAGCTGACAATTGAAGGCAGGTCTGGGCTTACCAGATAGTCCACAAAACCTAGAGCCTGGGGACTCCTTAACAGACACTCAGGCAGGGGCCATAAACCACGTGCTGGGTAGGGAAAGTGGCTGGATATCAGGGGATTAGCAGCATCCTAGAGTCCAGAGATGATGGTCAAGCCAACCTGAAACATGGCTGAATACCCTTCGAGGAAATAACCTGGAGCTGCCCAGGTTGATCAAACAGGAAATAACAGCAGAAAAGCCTCCTCCAGCCAGAGTGTTTTGTGTACGTGATTAGTTAGCATGTGAAATGCATCCTTGCCATATTACTTACTTAAAAACTTACATGACAGTTCATAGTATCTCCCCCCCAAAATGATGTAGATGCATCAATTAATCATTTGTGTTGTTATCAAAATGCAGCTGAATCCAATGAACACAAGATCAGTGGTTCTGAATCGTACCTGCACATTGTGAGCCTCTCAGGAACTTTTCAAAATCCCAATGCCCAGGCCCACACCCCGGACCAGTGAAACTAGGATCTGGAGTGAGGACCAGTCATTAATATTTTTTAAAGGTTGCCAGGTAATTCCAGTGTGCAGCTAGGATTGAGAACCACTGCCTGAAAAAATTCACAGCCTAGGTTTTCCCAACCAAAGATCAAGCTGAAATATCAGTCTGAAAACTGATCCTCTGGGAATTCTCAAAAGATTGGGAACAGAGGGCTTTGTAAGTGTGGTGGAACTAATCTGTATGGCACTATTGTGGTGGAAAGGTGACACTGCATTTGCCAAAGACCCTTAAACTTCACGCACAAAGAGTGAATCGCCTTGTATACGGTAATGAAGCATCCTGGATGGGATTGTGGGACAGAAAAGGAAATTAGGGAAAAACTAATGAAATTTGAATATGGAATTTATTTAATAGTGATATACCAATGTTAATTTCTTAGTTGTGACAGTTAAAATAATGTTAGATATTAACTGTAGAGTATACTAAGTATGGGGTATTCAAGAACCCTGTCCTCTTTTTTTTTTTAAGTTTATATATTTTGAGAGAGATGGACAGTATGAGTGGGGGAAGGGCAGAGAGAAAGAGAGAGAGAGAGAGAGAGAGAGAGAGAAAATCCCAAGCAGGCTCTGCACTGTCAGAGCGGAGCTGGATGCAGGGCTCAAACTCACAAAACCGTGTGACCATGACCTGAGCTGAAACCAAGAGTCAGACGCTTAACTGACTGAGCCACCCAGGCGCCCCTGTCCTCTTTTTCTATAAAACTAAAGCTGTTCTAAAATTTAAGTTTATTTTAAAAATGGTTATAAACAAATCTTATTTTATGTGTCTCTTCTAATAAGAATAGAGGCATTCATCTCTGTATATCATAAGTTGTGATAATCAGTAAGACTGTGTATCTACAATAAACTCTGAGCCTAGCATTACAAAAAAATCTATGCATACCCTCTCTGTGGGCAAAAAAATTCCTGATGAAAGACATCACTGAGCTATAATTTTAATTATCAATTAAAAGTTTATTAATTATCTCATGCTTCATAAATTATGCTTAAAATCATAGGCCTAGATCTAAATACATTTCAAACTTCAAATTAATTAATGAATTTTATTAACAAACTTTTTCAGCAGCCATAAGGGTTAATTCTATTAATTTACCAATAATAGGCATCATGTAAATAAATGTACATTCATTTTCACCCTTCTTCCCCAAATAGTGACACATAAAAAATACGAGAAAAAGAGAACATGTACAGTAAGTTTCCTTAGCAGTTTTTTTAATTAAAATAAATTTTTTTATTGTTTATTTTTGAGAGATAGAGACAGAGCATGAGTAGGGAAGGGCAGAGAGAGAGGGAGAGACAGAATCTGAAATAGGCTCCAGGCTCTGAGCTGTCAGCACAGAGCCTGATGCAGGGCTTGAACCCACGAACCGTGAGATAATGATCTGAGCTGAAGTTGGATGCTTAACTGACTGAGCCACCCAGGCACCCCTCCTTAGCAGTTTTAACCCAAATCATAAATGTAAAATTCTTCATCCTATTTTAAAAGAATTTTAGATCTTTTTATAATACTAGGGTTTTTTTTGTCTCTTATTTTTGGTATTGCTTTACAAAACAGTTTGAAATTAGAATGTTACTGCTTATGACTTCAGACTCTAATGTTCTTATAGGTTTATCTGATACTAGTTTAACAGTTATAGAACCACAATTCATTTTAAAGAGAACATAATAAAAGGGAACTAGCTTATTAAAAATAATTGTAATAGGGGTACCTGGGTGGCTCAGTCGGCTAAGTGTCTGACTTCAGTTCAGGCCATGATCTCACGTTTGTGGATTTGAGCCCCACATTAGGCTCTGTGCTGACAGATCAGACCCTGGAAGCTGCTTTGGATTCTGTGTCTCCCTCTCTCGTGGCCCCTCTTCCACTCATGCTCTGACTCTGTCTCTCTCTCCCTATCAAAAATAAATAAACATAAAAAAATTTTTTTTAATTGTACATAGTAGTAGAAACCATATCCTGACTACATTCATAAAACTGTTATATCTGCTCTTTCTTGTGTATTTTATTTAATTTTAATTAATTTATTTATTTTAGAGAGAGAGTGCATGGGCAAGTGTGGGAGGGACAGAGAAAGAGAGACTCTCAAGCAGGCCCCATGCCCAGCACAGAGCTGGACACAGGGCTCCATCTCACGACAGTGAGATCATGACCTGAGCTGAAATCAAGTCGGTCACTCAACTGACTGGGCTACCCCAGGCAACCCCCTCTTGTGTATTTTAATTCTTCAGTTTCTGTGTTTATATATATATTTATATTATACATATATATTTTTAAATAAATATATATTTAACATATTAATATATTTAATTGTTATATTTAAATAATTTAATAAAATATATTTTATATTTTATATAAAAATATATATTTAAGCTTTATCTATTTATTTATTTAGAGAGCACATGAGCAGGGAAAGAGGAGAGAGAGAATCCCAAGCCGACTCTGCACTGCCAGAGAGAAGCCAGCTGCAGGGGCTCAGTCCCACGAACCGTGAGATCATGACCTGAACTGAAATGAAGAGTCAGACACTTAACCAACTGAGCCACCCAGGCACCCCTCTTTGTTTAAAAAATATTAAGAACAGTCACAAAATTACTGACCTCAGTAATTTATCAATCTCTTGAGTTTCAGAAGGGACAATTACATAAAGTTCCACAGACCACTTAATGCAAGTTTCCCCTTAATACAATAATAAAGTGATTAAATTTCACTTGGATGCAGAAAATATTTTCAGAGCTCAAAGAAGGCAATGACATTGTCCTATAAATTATTTTCATTGCATTTTTTTCCATTGGAGCCTTTTCTATTTTTGAGAAATAA